CCCCACTGTAGCCTCGTCTTGGGTGCGGTGGGCCCCGGCTGGGCCGGTTGCTGACTCCTGCCCCCTGGCTGCGGGGCGCTGCTGAGGCGGGAGGCAGACACCTGTGCGCGCAGTGAGGGGTCGCTGTGTCCCCGCAGGTGTAGTTTGGCCCCTCGCGGGGGCTGCAGCCCTTCCCTCAGCGCAAGAGGCAAATGCCTCTGCTGCTGTTTGAGTGAGCTGTCTCCTTTAATGGAAAGAGACATAACGAGACCGGATTACATGGTAATCGGAGCATGGCCTGTGTGAACTGGAGCATCAGGGGCACTGAGGAGTGGATTTTCAAGGTCGGCCTGTCCCTGTGTATAACTAAATATATTGATAGCACACGTGTACTGGTCTCTTCCCCCCTCCCTCCCCCGACATTGACAACAGTATTAAGTGAGCAAAACTTTCTTTAGCTGTGGCACAGCCTTTGATTTTTCACTGCAAACTAGGTCCACAGCAAGTTTGAAGTTTGTGAAATGTGCACTGTAAACATAACACAGAGTCTGTACGTGTTGCGTGTTCTTCATCAAGGATAGGGCTTTGAAAGTAAAGTGGTAAATACTGCACTTACAAAGATATAGATTATGTAACTGCTCTTAAAAACTGAGTCACTTTACATCAGGGGGGTGGAACCTCAGGCCTGGGCCGGATTTGGCCCCTGACTTGACTGGTTCTGGCCTCTAAGACAGACACGCTAGCCTTCCCTCCCGCAACCCCGCCCCACCAAGGTGCTGGCCCACACGTCTACTAGGGTAGGCCTGGTAGGCTGTGGTGTGCAGGGGAATGTGGGGAGAGTCTTTCTCCTCTGTCAGGGGCCACATCAGGGAGGATTTGGTTTGGTTTTTTTAATTATTTTTCTGTGAGTCAGCAAGAAGAGTTCTAAATTAAAAACAAACGAGTGTTAGCTGGAAAGCCCAGGTTAAATAGAATGTAATTAAGTTACTTAAACATAATTTCTTCTATTTCTAGTGAGAACTCTGTGGTTTTGGAGAGACCTTTAAATGATGAAACTGAAACTCCCTGCTTACTGTATCTGCAGTGTGATCCTCATGGATCGGAGGAAATAGTCTATGTTGGAATTTTAAGTGGGGCAAGAAACATGGAAGTATATGTAGGAGAAGAATATTATGGAACTGGTAGGGGACAGAATGTCTGCACCATTCAGAATGAGAGGTAAGGGTCTTCATTTTGCTTTATTAAAACCACTTGAAAAGGAAACTATCTGGTTGGAGTGGGGGCTGGTGATGAGTTATATTGCTCTTAGACTTGATTTAAATGTAGTCTCGGAATCTTAAAGGCCAAAACCTATTATCTGTTTGGTATTCGTCTCAGTTTGAGGTTTTTAGTGGTCAGATATCCGCATCACAAAAACTACCAGTACAGTTTGTGCTACCTTAACAGTCTCAGCAGAGTCCAAGGATTGAGTGGGCATAGAAACTGCACTTCTCACTCCTCAGGTGAGCCCTGCCTGTCATTGTTGAGTCATATTATAATTAAGGCTGTCAGCTACTGTTATCAGTGAGTTAAATTATTTAACTCAGCAGTAATCTCTAAAAATCATCTAGGAACACCTTTTTAAAGTTCTTTTGTATATGACTGCAAAGAGGAATGAAAACAAATGTCAATATTCTTATTACGTAATCTACAAGAATTTGCCTATGGAGTTTGGAGGGGAAAAAATAAAAGGGGGTAAACTTTGATTGCAGTACATAAACATTTGGCCAGCTATGTTTTTGCTAACTTAAGAACCAGCTAGTCAGTTAAGCCAAAACTAGAAGAAAATCCTATTGGTACCATGTGTGGGGGAAAAAAGGAACAATGTGTACTTGTGTGTATGTATATCATATGATTAAATCTGAACTGAATTTTAATGTTAAAACCCAACATATTCCATTGAAAGCTAATGCATTCAACTTCTTCCTCCCCCATTATCAGCGTAATAGCTATTATTTTTGTGTTCCTGTAGCTAGCATTTACCATAGACGTCACAGCTCATTTATTTTATTTTTCTAACAGAAATGATAAGATTACTTTATACAAAAAATATCTTAAATTGGAGTACTCCACCACTTCTTGCAGAATTAAGGTAGGAAATTCCAAAAAATTGTTTTAAATTGACCAATGGGTTATTTTGCATTACTGTCTGACAGTCAGAAGATGATAGCTAAGTTTATGCTAACCTGAGATGTGGTGTGAATATTCTCTTTAAAAAGTAGGAGGATTTTGAACCAAGGTTCTCTTGTCTTAAAATGTTGTTGTTAAAGTTTGTGCAAGAGGGAGGGAAAATGCTCTTAACTCACTTTTTAATTAGAGGTATTCTAAAGGTTTAACAATTTGTGCACAATGAGAATTTTAGGTGTTGATGCTACAAACATGCACATTTGTAACTCTACGTATGTGAGTAGTCTCATTGTAATCATTTGGACTACCCACATGCATAAAGCTTAAGCATGTGCTTAAGTGTTGGCAAGATAAGAGCTTGTTTAATCTGGTTCAGTCTTTCAATATGAGTATTATTCAGAATAATTTCAGTATGAAGCCTACTAAGTGGGTCTGTTTTAATTTCCAAACTAGTATTTTGTTCTAAAATCTTATTTTTCTTTGCTTTGTAATAGCTGGTTTCGATTGGTGAAAGACAAAGGGTACTCATAACTAAAATTGTAGTACAAGTAAAATCAGTTTCTACAAAATCTGCCTCAGATCTTCCATCACTAGGATCAAGTGTTGATCTAGATAGAGTTCAAACTATGGTGGAATCCATGGGGTCAAAGTTATCTCCAGGTGCTCAGCAACTCATGAATATGGTTCGACTTCAGCAGAAGGCAAGTTGTTCCTTTTAGATTATTATATTTTATGTAATATAAAAACTTTGTGTTCTGTATCAGTGTTACCCATATATTCCAAACTCATTTGAACAAAAAGACCTTCCCACACTTCTTAATATTTCAAACCTCATTCAGTCACCACTGTGATAAGCTTAGGAATATAGATGAGCATTTCAGTGTGCTCTGAAGGGCTGTGTCTACACTACATCCCTTTTCCAGGGGGAAAAGATCTTTCAAAAAAGGGATTTATTTTCGATAGGAATCAATCTAAACGGCCATTTTTCTCTTTCGAAAAGCCCGGCTGCCATTATGCAAACGAAATGCAGGAAATTTTAAATCCCGGCTTCATTTGCAATTTCAAAGTGTCTAACATCCCTTTTTCGAGAAAAGGGATGTAGTTTAGACACAGCCAAGGTGACTAAAACTAACCAGACCAACATGGGAACAAATGAGTTTCAGAGTTGAAGCCTTCTACCCTCCCATCCCCCCTACCCAAAAACCCCCAACACTATGCCGGGAGACCCTTCTTCTTCATTTAAACTAGGGGGTTAGATTGAAATCTGTAGCTACAGGCAGTTGCTATAATATGACGATTTTAAAAGGTATGATCTGCCCACTTCAGGTTAATCAGTGCAGATCACTGAGTTTGAGGAGTAATGTATTTCCTGTGGGAAATAATGTTTAATATCTATGCAGGCACATTCTGTGCCAATTGAAATATCAATGACTTTTAAGGATCAGCCACCTGTAGAGGAATTCGAGGTTGAAACTAACCAAATGTGGATAACTCATATCTGCACCCCTAAAGAAAAAGGTGACAATCTTCTTGCTTAAATCAAATAAGTGATCTTGGCATTTGAGATGGTAGACTACTATTATAAAGATATTTTAGGGTTTTTGTTTGCGACAACTGAGTTGTCACTATTTTGTATTGAGAATTGTGCTGTGTGGGTGTGTTGCGATTTTTCTTTGCTTTTAAAAATAACCTTGCAATAAAACTTGTTCCCTACCGATAGCATTATTACTGGATTTAGCCGCCAGTCCTGCAAATTATATGTACACACCCCCGCACCTACTCACACGGAGTACCTTTTAGTATTGGAGCCCTAATTTAGTCAATTGCTGCTTCAATAACTCAAGTTGTCGAAAAAAAATCTGGCTACTTCAACTCCTTCATGTTGCAAATATGAATCACCTTTCACATGGCTTCTTTACTGGGAAAGTGTCTGTTTTCTACAGTATCAACATATAACTTTTTTTTCATTGTGATAAAGCTTTTATATCATATTCATTCTGAGCAAGCTTTATATAGGTGAGAATGGAATTGAATGCTATATTTATCTTAGAATGCTTGTGCACGGGGGGGCGGTGGTGGTAAGGGGCATGTTTATTGCTATTGTAGATTTATTGAAAAAAATCAATATGTACTTTTTCTTATTTCTATTAGAACAGTTTTCCTCTTGGAGATAAACTTCAGTGTATCTTTGGGAAGAAGGAATCTATCTTTGGAAACAATCCTATAATAGATGGATTCCACAATGAATCCAATGTACCCTTTCCTCCTAAAAGTTCTCTGTCAACTGAAACAGTTTGTGAAGATTTAAAAACACATACTGATATGAACCCACGGATACCTGGTACGGAGAATATTCTTGATCTTGAAAGATTTAAAACTATGCAACAAAGCACTCCTCTTCCTGGAAATGATTATAAAGCTATGGTATCATCGTTAATACAAGAGCAAGCAAGTGGAAATCCAAATATGTGCAGTTCTGGACTGCTGCTTCCCTTTCTTCAAAACTTATGTGGTCAAGTGAACCATCTTCGGGTAGATGATGGGAATAAGCATTTTGAGAAGAGTACAATAACTAAAGAATGTCTTTCTCAAGCTGTTGGGTAAGCTGGGCTTCAAACACTTACCTGACTTCTCCTAGCCTGTGGAATGTGCCTGTTTGTAATAGTTAAATAAAACATTCCTGCCTTGACAACACTCCATAGCCATCCACCATAAAACCCTATCCTTGCAATTTAAAGGAATAAAAATGTTACATTTCAAAATGCTGTTAAATAGATTACATAGGCTATCCTTTTAGTACCATCATAGTATTCCTGGCTTCTTTACAATGGCAGATCATGATGTACCTTTTTCTGCAGTACTATAGGTGTCTTTTTTTTTTTCTTCCCCTTTATCAATCTTGCTTTTCCTACATTATGTACTCTTTCCTCTCCTATATTTTTCTCTTCCACTTCTATTGTCACTAGTATATTTACCCATCAATCTCTGCTACCCTTTTCTCTCCCATATTACCAGATTCATAAGTCCAAAGATAAGGAATATGGTAAAACTTGCAGGAATATGTGTTTTGCTGTCTTAACCTCCCTGCTGTCTTCCATAATTTGGAATCTCCTAGTAAAAAGCTCCAGTGCCTGCATGTGCGAAGGCTACTATCTTTTTCCAGTTATCAGCAGACCAAAGATAATTTTCTTAACCATGCTGCCCATTGTGTCATTAGTAGCAATGAAAATAGCAGTACTCTAGCTTTCCCTCTGTTGCATCTTGATAGAAACATGGCCTTGCATTGGTTTCATGTGGGAAGTGAGTTAGCTCTTTGGGTTTTTTTTCTTTCCAATTTCCTGGTTTGGGTATGGTGAATATCATGGAAACATTTGAAATATTTAAAAGGGGGTGGGAGAAATATAGCTCTTGCATTTCAATATGTAGAAAACCTAGGTTTTTTAAAAAAAAAAAAAAAAACCAAAACCCGAATGGCAGAACAAGTTGAAACTTGTAACTGGCGATGCTTCTGTAACTTCGCAAAAAAAATTGGCTTCCACTTGCAAAAAATTTTTCACTAAGTACTCACATTGTACTTCCCATAAACACTATAACTTAAACGTAACATGGATATAGCACAAACCCCAGACATTATTCTTCTGATAATTTCATGGAGGTTAGGTCCATAAAAGGCTATTAGCCAGGGGATAAAATGGTGTCCTTGGCCTCTGTTTGTCAGAGGCTGGAGAGAGATGGCAGATGACAAATCGCTTGATCGTGTCTTTGGTCCACCCTCTCTGGGGCACCTGGTGCTGGCCACTGTTGGCAGACAGGATACTGGGCTAGAAGGACCTTTGGTCTGACCCAGTACGGCCGTTCTTATGTTCTTAATTCCCTAGTTTTGTTTGTTATGCGGATATGGAAGCAAAAGTGAAATTAGTAGAGTAGGGTGTTAAAATGTATCTAAGTATTCTTCTAACTATTGAAATTTTCAGTGGTTACATGCAGGGGATATCTGAGGCAGCGGGGAGGAGAGAGGTGCAGGCAAAGCTGTTGCGCGCAGCAAGCCAACTCCTTGAGCATATTGGCTCCTGCCTCCTTCCTCTCCCCCCACTGCTACCTCTGATACGGAAGTAGCAGCCTATGATGGGTGTGGGAGGAAAGATGTGTAACTGTGCAGGTTTAACTAATGAGCCTGGGCTCATTAGTTAAACTGTGTACACAGTTACATTTTCACACTCCTAGTACAGAGTAGTGTGCTAATCTCTTGTTAAATAACTACCATTTTAAATATTGGATTAATATTACATTAAGCACAAATTTGCAAAGAGAAGTAAAAATTAGTATCCTTATCTATTGCACATTTTACATATAAAGATAAATGGACACACTAATTACAATAGGGCAAATCTTGCCATTTCACGAAATACAACTGATTAATGTTTGTTGCATGATGCATGTTTGGACAAAATTAGACCTTCTGTGTAGTGAGGGTGAAGATATTGGATTTTTTTATAATGCATACTCAATAGAGGTACAATTTTTACATTAGAATTTAAATCCATTTCAGAACTCTAGTGCCCTTCTTTGAGGCTCTGGGATCTTTATTGCAGTTAGCCAGCATGATTACTGAAACTATATTAAAAATAAGTGACTATATATACATTTCTTGCAGAATGGAACAGCAGCCTATTTGCTCTTACTTGGAAAAGATCCTATCCAAAAATATGGAACTGATGGAGAAGAAGCTAATGGATTATATTGATCTAAGTATGCAAAAACTTCAGGAACACATAGATACTAAAGTTGTTATGTTAATGGACATGGTTCAAAACTCCAAATTGAACAAAATATCCCAAGAACACTACCCTTATGGAGAAGGACTTTCAAATGGAGAGAGATAGACAATATTTGAAAGAGAGCCCCAGTAGAAATACTTTCTGGGACGAGTATTTATTTTGATGTCTTTCCAAAGCTTAATATTTATGAAAATAATTATAAAAAACCCCAGTTTGCATTTGTTACTATATTTCTGTCTAGTACTGTAAATTAAATATTAGTGCTATAAAACATCTTCAGAAATATCAATATTTTTCATAAGTAAAGAACTCTTTTATATTCTTGTGGCTTATTTAATATTTCAAAAAAAGGCCCTGGCCCTACATTTTGCCAACCTCTCTCTGAGCTATGAAATAAGTACACTGAAAGTGAATTGTAGGTTTTCTATTTGAGACAAAACAATTTAAGTTATTTTATATAATCTAATAGTGGGCTAACAATAGAGCAGAATTCAGCTTCTGTTTTGTTTAGGTTTTTGATTAAAAGATAAGAAGAAAGAGCCTTTTACCTCCAAGATACCAGTTGAAAATAATCTGCTGCATCTGAAGCATTGCACATCAACTGAATTGACTTATCAATAAGCTAAATCACAAAGGGTCTACACTGGCGGTGAGTATTTGTGCAAGAACACGGACTTTGGTCTGCACAAAATCAGTGGGTCTTGCGCAAATACTCTAACGCTCCCACTCAGGGATAAGCCCTCTTGCGCAAGTGTTCTTGTGCAAGAGGGCCAGTGTAGACAGCCAAATTAATTTCTTGTGCAAGAAAGCCTGATGGCTAAAATGGCCATTAGAGCTTTCTTGCGCAAGAGAGAGTCTATGCTGGGCACTGCTGCTTTTGCGCAAAAGCAAATCTCTTGTGCAAAGGTACATGCCAGTATCGATGCTCTCTTGCGCAAATACTTTTAACGGAAAAACTTGTGTTAAATATTTGCGCAAAATCTTGCCAGTCTGGACACACCCAAACCTTCTCTAGAAATATTACAAAACAAGCATGGAATGGCTGCGTTGGATGTAGTCAGAACATCAGTTTGCAGTTGCAGCAGAAACTGCTGTAAAGGGGCAAGTAAGAGGCTCCCCTTTACATAGAGATGTTCATGTAACAGGATCCGCATTATGGCAAACCTCAACTAGAGGAAAAGACCTTACACTATTGGTTACTCCAGGATCGAGGACGTAGAAAGATGAATTAAAGTCCTCTTCCTGTGTCTGCTGCTTTGGCAGAGCCTCCAACTGTTCTACAACCCTCTAGTTTCACAGATAAAGAAAAGTACCTTTCCTTTGAGGAAAAAGATTATTCTCTTTCCTCCATTCTCCTCCTGGCCACTTCTGTGAAGAATGCTCACAGAGCCAGCATTGTGCCTGAGGATGGCTATATGATTCATCCCCTGGCATTGTTCTTCAGGGTGGGGGCCTGGACTCTGCAGCTTGACATCAGCCCTGGTGGTGCTCCTCAGAGGGGGGAGGGCTGGGGGCTGTGCTTGCTGGCCCTGGCCTCCAGATTGTCTGGAGAATTGGGGGGGAGGGGGTTACGCTGCCTGGACCTGGCTTGCAGCTTCTCATTGGAGGTGGGGTGTCAGACTCCTTTTACCTGCCCCCAGTCTGCAATTTAGGGCGATCTTCTCCCCCCCCCCACCCCAAGTCTGGTGCTGTGACCAAGGATAGGAGCACTTAAGTAGGCTGTCCCAAGTGCTCGTCTCTGGTCACTCTATGGTATATCTGTTCCTTCTGTCAGCTCCTTTTTTTGTTATGGAAAACAATCCCATTCCAGGTATATCCCATTTTCCTGGCACAATCAAACCCTGACCTTGTTTTCTGTTATAAGAGGACGATGTATACTAAATTTGGTAGTCCTAGCTCTTACCATTTAGGAGGAGTTCTTGAACAGATTCACAGACACACAAACTGTCTAAGAATACAGTATACAAAATATTAATCCCACTGCATTTGACTTTTCATATCAATTTAGTTCAAGAAGAGAACATGAAGCTCCTAATCTCTTAGGCTACATCTGCATTGGCATGATTTTGCAAAGGAACTCTTTTGTGGAAGAGTTCTTGGCAAAAACTCTTCCAGAAGAGAGCGTCTACACGGGCATGTGCCTTTGCGCAAGAAATGTGCTTTTGCGCAAGAGCATCTGTGCCAGTATAGATGCTCTCTTGCACAAGACAGCTCTAATGGCCATTTTAACCATAGGGCTTTCTTGCACAAGAAATTCATGTTGCCTGACTACACTGGCTTCTTGCACAAGAGGGCTTATTCCTGAGCGGGAGCATCATAGTTCTTGCGCAAGAAGCACTGATTTTATACATTAGAATATCAGTGTTTTTGCGCAAGAACTTGCGGCCAGTGTAACATGAATTTCTTGCGCAAGAATAGCACGAATGTAGACACAGCCTTAAATTAGAGGCAGTCTGACCTATGTTCTCCATAAAATATGCCATATAATGTCTATGTTAAAGCTATTTTAATGTGTTCCCCTCCATAGGTTTGGCACGTCATAATGCACTTATTCTGTCTTCAGTAAGAGTAAATATATGTTTCAATTTTTATTTTTGCAAGTACAAAATTCAAGACAAAAAGTTGTTGGAAAAAGCCACTTTATTGCATCCTATCCTATTGCACATCAAGATATTAATCTGAATATGAGTTAATTTTCATATGTAAAACATGGTTTACTTATTTACTAAACATAATCTATTAAGATTGAAATCACATACAGAGTTGTGAATACCATTCTCATGCCAAAGAAAATCTCAGGTAACTAATTTGATTAACTGGAATACAGTTACAGTAGACACTCGACCCGTAAGAGGCTCTCCACAGTACACTTATGCAAATTTGTGTGCATCATTGTAATTTTAGCCAGTCTCCCTTCATATAACCATTTTACTGTTTAAGCAACTCTGCAATTGGCTTTGTGCAAAATATTTCTCCTTTATAGTCAGGCTTTTTTTGCATGAGGCACTGTCTTTCCAAAGAAGACAATTCTATATGCTTAGCTTCAAAATCACCTCCATGCTACTGAATGGGAAACTATAAATACTTAATTCTAACATCATGGAAGTTACTAGGGCAGAAAAAAGATAAACCAGTTGCTTATAATGGAGAGAATTCACATTTACAAATAGCTGAATTTCTACTCAGCAGCAACAAATGAAACTGATTACGTAAACATATAATATATCTGTGGCATTATTTTGCTGTTATTTATATATTTAAGTGTAGATGCTTGAATCATATTGGTGTCATATGTATGCGTTGCAGTCCTCTAGGTCTGATCTCGTTTGTATGCACTCTGCTCACTTTGATTTTCAAAAAAGTCCAGCAAGGACTAAAACAATTACTATTGAGAGCAAAGTGATACTAGA